TCACACACACAGGTAGACAAAGACACACACAGGTAGACAGAAAGACACACAGGTAGACAGAAAGACAGACACACAGAAAGACAGACACACAGGTAGACAAAGACACACAGGTAGACAGAAAGACAGACACACAGGTAGACAAAAAGACACACACTAGTAGACAGACAGATAAACAGACACACAGAGATACAGACAGATATACAGGCAGACAGATACAGACATGTTTATGTGCAACAGTGAAAACAAATAGAGAGTTCGAGAGTAAGAGCCTTTCTTGCCACAATCTCCAGTGCAAGATTCAGACTTCATCTTAGAGGCCATGGTGACACATTGCCGTCATGAGTATTGTCAAATATTGTACAGTGGTGTGCATCAGCCGGCCCAGCCCAGCTGCCAGATGCACGGTCGTAAGTCGAGTGGACGTATGTCGAGCAGGTCGTAAGTCGGATGGTAGGTGTATTTCATGTGGTACAAAAATTTTTTTTTCATACTTCTGGGTGTCTGGAACGGATTAACTGGATTTCCATTATTTCTTATGGGGAACATTAATTCAACGTACAATAATTTCGTTTAACGATGAGCTCTCTGGAACAGATTAATATCGTAAGTCGAAGGCCCACTGTATACTATTCTTTATTCATAAGTAATGCACCTAGAAGAAATAAAATTTTGTATATTATTTGAGAACAGTGATATTCGTGCCTTTGCCTTTATTCTGAATACAAATACAGTGGAGCCCCAGTTATCAACTGTAATCCGTTCCAGAAGGTTGGCCTAAATCTGAAATGGCCGAAAACTGAGGTAATATTTCCCATAAGAAATAATGTAAATCCAATTAATCTGTTCCAATCACCCAAAAATATTAAAAAATACATTTTTTTAAAGAATACCTATAGTTTTACATACAGAAAACAATGAAAAAAATATAAAGCAGTAATTTTAATAATAAATGAACATTACATACCTTTACTGAAGACTCTTGTTGGCATATGGAAGAAGGCGAGGAGGGGAGAGGGAGGAGAGTTTATTGTTTGGAAGGGGAATCCCCCTCCACAAGGACTTCAGGTATCAAGTCCCTCTCTGGGGTTACTTCCCTTCTTTGTTTTTTACTGGCACTAGGACCAGCTCAAGAGTCACTGCACCCGTCGCACAAAAAATCTGTCTAGAGAGGCCTGTTTCTGGCGTCTCTGTAAAATTTGCCTAAAATGGGACAAGACAATGTTATTGAACATGTTGCAGACACAGCTTGCAACAGTTATGTCAGGGCGATTATTTTCTGCAAAACTTTGCACCTCACTCCACTTGGCACAAATATCTTTAATCACTGAAGAAGGCACATTCTTCCCCTCTCTTCCTCCTCTGTAGCAATATCCTCAGCTGCAGTCTGTTGCTGTTCCTGTTGAAGGTGTTGCAGCTCTTCAGTGGTTAGCTCTTCCCTGTGGTCGTCCACCAACTCTTCCACATCCTGGCCATTCATCCATCCCCATGGACTTCCCCAATGAAATGATAGGTTCCACAATAGGCATAGGGTCGTCAGGGTCAGCCTCAAACCCTTCAAAATCCTTGTCGAGGACACATCTGGACACAATTTTCTCCAAGCAGAGTTCAAAGTCTTGGAAGTCACTCCCTGCCAAGCCTTATCTAAGGCTTATGCAATGGAGGATATTGAAGTGATTCCTCCAGAACTTTCTTAGGGTCAATTCAGTGTCCGAGGTCACTTCAAAGCACCTTTGAAACATTGCTTTGGTGTACAGTTTTTTGAAGTTTGAAATGATCTGCTGGTCCATGGGCTGGATGAAAGGAGTGGTATTTGGGGGCAAGAACTTCACTGTGATGAACTTACACTCCTCAAACAATAGGTCTTCCAAGTCTGGAGGATGAGCAGGAGCATTGTCCAGTACCAGGAGGCACTTAAGTGGCAATTTATTTTCCAGGAGGAATTTCTTCACACACGATAGAATTCAAGAAAGACATCACTAAAATATGAAAGTGGAATGCGTGTGGCAGAACTTGCCAGGCTGTATGGGAAACCCCCATACAACCATCACTTCCATCGTGGCCAAGAAAACGGAAATCAAGGAAGCTGTTGTTTTAAGAGGGGTAAATATGCTCACAAAAATGAGACTGCAAGTACTCGAAGTTGTTGAGAAGTTATTTTTGGTGTGGATCAACGAAAAACAATTAGCAGGAGATAGTGTTATGCAGTCGATAATTTGTGAAAAGGCAACGCAGCTGCATGACAATCTCGTAAAGAAAATGCCTGCAACGAGTGCTGATGTTGGTGAGTTTAAGGCCAGCAAAGGCTGGTTTGAGAGATTTAAGAAGCATAGTGGCATACACAAGTGTAGTAATGCATGGCGAGGCTGCCAGTTCTGACAAACATGCGGCTGAAAAATATGTGCATGAATTCAAGGGATATGTAGAGGCTGAAGAATTCAAACCCCAACAAGTGTTCAATTGTGACAAAACAGCCCTCATTTGGAAGAAAATGCCAAGGAGGACCTACATCACGCAGGAGGAAAAGGCACTACCAGGACACAAGCCTATTAAAGACAGGTTTACTCTTTTGTTCTGTAGTAATGCTAGTGGGGATTTCAAAGTGAAGCCTTTACTAGCGTATCACTCTGAAAATCCCAGTGTGTTCAAGAAAAACAGTGTTGCCAAAAGTAAATTGTGTGTGATGTGGAAGGCTAACAGTAAGGCATGGGTCACAAGGGAAATTTTCCTTGATTGGTTCAATGAAGTGTTTGGCCTGAGTGTGAAGAAATACCTCCTGGAAAATAAACTGGAACTCAAGTGCCTCCTGGTAATGGACAATGCACCTGCTCATCCTCCAGACTTGGATGACCAAATTGTGGAGGAGTTTCGTTTCATCACAGTGAAGTTCTTGCCCCCTAATACCACTCCTCTTATCCAGCCCATGGACCAGCAAATGATTTCAAACTTCACCTCAGACACTCATTTAACCCTAAGAGAGTTTTGGAAAGATCACTTCAGTATCCTCCATTGCCTAAACCTTATAGGTAAGGCTTGGGAGGAAGTGACTTCCAGGACTTTTAACTCTGCTTGGAGAAAATTGTGGCCAGTGAGTGAGTGAGTGAGTGAGTGTGAGTGTGTGTGTGTGTGTGTGTGTGTGTGTGTGTGGTTGTGTGTGTGTGTGTGTGTGTGTGTGTGTGTGTGTGTGTGTGTGTGTGTGTGTGTGTGTGTGTGTGTGTGTGTGTGTGTGTGGTGTGTGTGTGTGTGTGTGTGTGTGTGTGTGTGTGTGGTGTGTGTGTGTGTGTGTGTGTGTGTGTGTGTGTGTGTGGTGTGTGTGTGTGTGTGTGTGTGTGTGTGTGTGTGTTGTGTGTGTGTGTGTGTGTGTGTGTGTGTGTGTGTGTGTGTGTGTGTGGTGTTGTGTGTGTGTGTGTGTGTCCAAAAGAAGGATTTTGAAGGGTTTGGGGCTGACCATGAGGACCCTATGCCAGTTGTGGAATCTATTGTGGCATTTTGTTGGATAGGAGTAGCAAGGATGTGGAAGAGCTGGTGGAGGACCACAACAAAGAGCTAACCACTGAAGAGTTGCAAGAGCTTCATCTCCAACAGCTCAAGAAATTGCTTCAGAGGAGGGAGAGAGATGGAAGAAGGTGCCTTCTTCAGAGATTAAGGAGATTTGTGCAATGTGGAGTAGGATGGAGAGATTTGTGGAGGAACATCACCCTGATAAATCTCTTGCAAGTTGTGTCGGGAACATGTACAATGACATTGTCTTGTTCGATGTTAGGTAAATTTTAAAGAGACGCCAGAAACAGAGCTCTCTTGACAGATATTTAGTGCCACAGGTGTGCAGTGACTTTGAAGCTGGTTCTAGTGGCACTAAAAAGCAAAGAAGAGAAGTAACCCTGGAAAAGCACTTTGTACCTGAAATCTTTATGGAAGGGGGATTCCCCTTCCAAACAATAATTAATCCATCCTCTCCCCTCCTCCTGTCTTCCATACACTATTATTGTTGCTATTATTGTTTTATTCTTCATGTCTCATTGTTTTATTCTTCATGTCTCATTGTTTTATTCATGTCTCATTGTTTTCTGTGTATGTACATCTATATTTCATATAAAAAAATTATTTTGTTTTAATACTTTTGGGTGTCTGGAATGGATTAATTAGATTTACATTATTTCTTATGGGAAAAATGGTTTCACAAATCGTCATTTTCAATATTCATCACACTCTCTGAATGGATTAATTACGAAAAACAAGGGTCCACTGTACTTTATTTAGGTTTGCATACCAGTTGGAGAGCTGGCAGCAAATCTGAGTGGTTGGTAAACGAGTACAATGGAACCCTAGTTTTTGTCTGGTCCAGTAATTGTACAATTCAGTTTTCAGCCACTTTATTCAGAGAAATTTTCCCAGTTTTCGTACATCTGCTCAGAAATTGTCCGTACCAGACGTGTCCGCTTGCCTGTGGGACATAGCCGCTCATACGTTCATGACTCAGTCTGCCTTTGTTACTCGTTCAGTGAGCATTACTCCGCTCATTCATCCGAAACATTTGGTAATAATCCATTGTTTTTTGCACTTGCAACTGCTGAATAAGCCACCATGGGGCCAAAGAAAGTTCCGAGTGCCAGCTCTTTTGTAAAGGCGAGAAACACGATAGAATTCAAGAAAGAACTCATAGAAAAATACGAGTGGCGTACGTGTGATGTTAAATGTTCATTTACCAATTGATTAGTCATTTATATTTATTTCTCAATGTTTTCTGTAAAACTATAGTTATTCTCTATAAAATGTATTTTTTGTTAATACTTTTGGGTGTCTGGAATGGATTAACTGGATTTATATTATTTCTTATGGGAAATATTGCTTCAGTTTTCGTACAAATTGGTTTTTGGCCAACCTTCTGGAACGGATTAAAGACAAAAACCAGGGTTCCACTGTATGTCGCTAAGTGAGGAGAGTTTGTATTAATAAATGTTGAGAATACAGAGGAAAGATTAGCCTCAATGCAAAATACTTACAATGTAAGGACAATCTCTCGAGTCAATAAGTACTTGATAGTAAGTGTGAGCTCTTCCTTTCACTTCCTTTCCAACTTGGTTATAGTTCATGCTTTCTTCTATGGGTCTGGAAAATATTTACTGCATTTAACAATGAAAATAAAACTGTACTGCACCTCAAGGAAGTCATACTGCAATAAAAATTTTCTTTGTTGTTCACAATATTCTTGGTGAAGCTCAGCAAATAATTCTAGAAAATCACAAACTAAGCTGTAACATTTCTCTTACTTTGATTCCTTCTTGTTAGGAACATCTCTGTCATAAACTCGGGCTAGCCAGGGAAAGAGAACCACCCCTCGGTAGCCAAAAACTCTGTGTAGAAATAGCTGTCCTGTCTCATATTTTCCAGTCAACTTTGGAGGCTCAAATTTACCAACTTCAGCCAATCTATAATTACTGAAAACAAAGGACATTTAGTTAAAATGACATTACACAGTAGGTCAAAATGTGAAAATAAGCTAAGTGAATTAAAAATGAATCCTCATGTTCTACTTGAGACTGAAATGCATTTCTCTTGTATGAACTCAGTGTTTTTGTTTTCAGATTTTTTTTTTTTTTTTTTGCACATTCTCTAAGCTCTTGTACATCAAATATCTACTGGATATAGTAATATACTTGTGGCCCTATAAACTCCATCAATAACAACAACATACTATACTTATGTACTATAGTACAGTAGTAACAGACAATATTAAGTACAGTACAATAACTTATTACAAAAACTCTTGAATCTGGATTACCATTAAAACTTGCATTTATCTATTTTATCATTTTAATGAAGTTACAAATAAAATATATTAATTTTTTAGCAACAAAAATCACAGTATATTAATAAAATAATAAGTTTAAAAGAGCTAAAAATAATTTTTTATTATGTATAGTAATTGTGTGAAACAATGGCTACTCAGTCCTCCTTGTGGGGACTGAACTGCAGCCCTCCCAGACAAGAGTGGCATAATGGATTACCTTACCACATCAGGGAAAGTTTTAAAATTTAAATGATATTAATTTAAAAAATTATTACAGGCACACATCCCTTTATCCTAAACCCTTGGGGGCTGTATTGTTTCGAATTTCAGAAGGATTCTCAATGCCGCCATGTGGTGGCGTGACCCAGCACGGACATGACCGACGCTCCACACTCCACAAAAAAAACTTCGGTTTTTGAAACTTTTCACATTTCAGAATTTTGGATAAAGGGATGTGGACCTGTATTACGAAATTTGCATGAAAGTAAGTGGCTGAAATGTCCTTCCAAAGATTGAACTTCTGCTCTTCATTAGGTGACAAAATTTGTCTTATGTATGATATTCCAGTTAAAATTTTATGAAATAAAATCTGAAAATAATTCCCAACACTTTGACTTACTACATTATATTACTTCACAAGTTTGTTTTAGTAGTGCTCTGCTATACATATTCAAATACAGCATTTATGCAGTTTTGCATACTAAAAAAAAATTTGGGTTTTGGTTTGCAAATTTTTGTATATCAAATCAATTCAGCTTTGCAAACAGCGGTAGAGAAATGGAACAAGTAAAAAGAGGACATAAAAAGTGTTAGAACGTTTGGAAATTCTTAAAAAATTATGCAATGAACAAATTATTAAAGATTTGGCACCATGAGCATAGCTCTGCTCCTGTACATACAAAAAGGTTATTCCAGGGATTTCTGAACCAAGAAATGGATGGAAGATTGAATTTACAGCACTGAATATGAAATTTAAGAATGTTTTTGATAGAGTTCCCACGAAAGAATACTTTGGAAATTTTAAAATGTATACATGTATACAAACATATAATGTAGAATGCCTATCAGTTGGAGTTGAAATATACTATTAGTATTATAACTGGGGGAACCGCTAAACTAGTAGAGGTCAAACAGTGCTATTTTATTAACAGTTTGCATGACACTTAGATGAATAAGATATATGCAACATTTACATTTGTTGTTTAGACGTTTCACCAGCCAGCCACTGGTTGGCGAGACATCTGCATTTATTTATTTATTTATTTATTTATTTATTTATTTATTTCCAATTTGTGCACACATACAGAGGTACAAAAAAAATACAGATAAGAGCAGTATGCCAAAGCCACTTATACTATGCATAGCATTACGGGCTGGCTTAAAATTAACTTAAGATTAACTAAGCAATGATTATTATTATTATTATAGTCAAAAAGAAGCGCTAAGTCACAAGGACTATACAGCGCTGCTACTAAGCAATGATGAAATCAGTGATAAAACATTAATGTAAACGGATAACTATAAAGCACAAGTGAGTATTACAAAGACAGGTCATATGGTTGCATTCAGTTAGGTAGTGATTCTGTTAGGTAGTGTATTTAAAAAATAATAAAGTTAGATTGGGTTTTAGGTTTAACATTTATGTGATATAATTGTGAGAAACATTTAAGATATACAATTTATAATGTTCAGTTATTCAGTATTTATTTGGTTTTGGGTGAGTAAGTAATCTTTGAGAAGAGACTTGAATTTATAAACAGGTTGTGTTTCTTTTATATTTACAGGTAATGAATTCCAGATTTTAGGGCCTTTTATGTGCATTGAGTTTTTGCATAGTGTGAGATGGACATAATGCATATGCATAATGCATAATGCATATACCAATGTGTTGCACATATCTTATTCATATACCAGGTCATATGGCACATGGGGAATGCGAAGTGATTAAGTTTAATCCAGTGAAGGGGAGGACAAGTTCTCTTTCTTAGATCAAGAGCCCCTCACTGGCATCACAACACCTTCCCTGAGGGGAGGCTGAGATATACAATCTTCCATCATTGTTTATGTCTCTACCTGGGTACTGACCTCTCTTATACATTATATATCTTGATTTTCTAATGTTTGGTACCACTGAGGTTTTTGGAGTTGTCCTAGGTTATACACATTAAACTTTAATTACAGATCTATGTGCCTTAAACATACTGCAATAATTTATACTTGTTTATAGAGCCATCAAAACTATAATATTTATTTCAGCATGATACAATGTTTGTACAGAGATGAGTGACATTTAATGTGCATACAGAAAGTCCATTGTTATGCAGAGCATTTTTCTAAATTTATATTAATCTGGCAAAAGTAATAAACCCGTAAGTCACGTAGCACCTGGAGAATGGGAGGTATTACAGTCAGATCCAAGGAGAGGAAGTGCAAATGCAATTCCTTGGATCAAAAGCTCTTCACCGGCATCAAGCCACTTTGGCTTCTTTTTTGGGGTTAACCTTAGTAATGTACACGTATGTTAATACCCATGATAATTATAACCACCTATATTTGCGTACCTGACCTTGTGTGTACCTAAATAATCTTGCACCTGGAAAACTGTGTTGATACAACACTCATAAGCATGACAAATAATTACCGTATAGATACAGGTCTTGATACTAGTGTGGGGCCCAAGTGATGTTAAGTAACAGTGGAACTGACTTCTTGACGCCCAGAAGACGTTTAAAGATATGCATATTTAAACAATAACTCAAAGACCGAAAGATAAAACACAAAGTGTTGCATCAATATCACTCACTATTTACAATATACCTACTCAAACAGTATTTAAAACACCAAGTGTCACCCTGCTGGCCACCAGATTGGTAATTTATTTTTCAACAATGGGCATCCTACCTGGTATAATTAGCCACAGGTATCACAATAAATTTCAAGAATATTTTAGAAGCCTTATAGGCGACAGGTTTAGTGGAACACCTGGACCACATCCTCCCCCGACCTTCACTAAACACACACTACCATCAGCCATTCAAGTATTACTAGTTATTATATTTTTTGTATCTAGTAAAATCAATTTAAACTTTAATTATTTCGAGATAAATTAAAATTAAATTGCTAATATTTAATAATACATGATTTTGGTTAGTTAATGAGGTTTAAATCTTATCCACTACACTAGGGTAGTGGAATCGTAAGGGGGGGGGGGGGGGGAGGTGACACCATAAGTAAGTTTATTCAGGTATACACAAATACAGTTATATAGAATTATCATACATAGCAGCATATGTGTAGAGAACATAGGATAACCCAAAAAAGTCAGACAGAGTGACTTATTTCCATTTAGGGGGTGACAGAATAAGAATAAGAATAAGATTTCGTTCGGATTTTTAACCCCAGAGGGTTAGCCACCCAGGATAACCAAGAAAGTCAGTGCGTCATCGAGGACTGTCTAACTTATTTCCATTGGGGTCCTTAATCTTGTCCCCCAGGATGCGACCCACACCAGTCGACTAACACCCAGGTACCTATTTGCTGCTAGGTGAACAGGACAACAGGTGTAAGGAAACGTGTCGAAAGTTTCCACCCGCCGGGAATCGAACCCGGGCCCTCCGTGTGTGAAGCGGGAGCTTTAGCCACCAGGCCACTGGGCCACATGGATATATCCATCAAGAAAGTGACTGTGTGTGTGTGGGTGTTGGTGTGTGGGTGTGTGTGTGTGGGTGTGCGTCCTTGTGTGTATGCATATATTTGTACGCTCGTGTGCACATGTCCGTGCGTGCGCCCTCGTGTGTGTATGTGCGCGCGCGCACTAGTGTGGGTGTATGATCCACTTAATATTTGTATTTATAACTCATTACAATTGTGACCAGGTGTGGACGTATCAGTGGTTCATTACTTTGTAATTTGTTCATGACTGTAACCATGTATAGGAGTGAAGCTGATTCATTACCTCTGTAACTTGCCATGATTAGTGACCAGATCTACCCGGAGTTCATTACCTTTGTAACTAGTTCAGCTATCATAACTTTGGGGTCCAGTCACTGGACCCATTATGTACCTTTGTAATCTTTTGACTACCGCCCACAGGATGGGTATGGGGTGCATAAAGATATTAAACTAAAGTGTGTGTGTGTGTGTGTGTGTGTGTGTGTGTGTGTGTGTGTGTGTGTGTGTGGTGTGTGTGTGTGTGTGTGTGTGTGTGTGTGTGTGTGTGTGTGTGTGGTGTGTGTGACTCAACAATCAATATTTGCACCAATAACTCATTACAGTTGTGACCGGGTGTGGAAGTGTGAATTGCTCATTACTCTATAATTTGTTCATGATTGTAGCCAAAGTATAAACGTAAGTAACCATTCTACAGAATTCATTACCTTTGTAACTTGTGAGCTCATTACCTTTGTACCTAGTTCAGCTATCAAAACTTTGGGGGCCCAGTCCCTGGACCCATTACGTACCTCTGTAATCTGTAAATACCTTTGTAACTTGTCATGATTGTGACCAGACTTACCTGGAGTTCATTACCTTTGTAAATTGTGAGTTCATTACCTTTGTAAATTGTGAGTTCATTACCTTTGTAAATTGTGAGTTCATTGCCTCTGTAACTTGCTCAGCTATCAAAACTTTGGAGTCCAGTCCCTGGACCAATTATGTACCTCTGTAATCTTTTGACTACCGCCCACAGGATGGGTATGGGGTGCATAATAAACATATTAAACTAAAACTGTGGAAAATATTTTAATCTTCCGAAGTTATAGTGCCTAATAGGTGTTTAATGTGTCGATATGGGTCAAAAATGTATTTGAAAATGGACTAGAACCAACAGGGAAGCTCTGCGCCTGCTCTGATGGGCAGGGAGAGGTCGAGATGGGGCACCAGGGAGCGGGAGTGTTTGGAATGGAGGTAAGAGACTGGGAAAACATGGGACCAGGAAATTGGCATTCACGGCGGCCTAAGGATTAATACATATAGGCCTCACTTCATAATAGGAAGTGTCGTAACTGTTCCTGGTGAAGAGTGAGGGAACATGATTTACGGGACCACCGTAATAAAGTGGCAAAATTAGTGAATAATGGTAGGACCATTGGTGACTGGCACGTCGCCATGGAGTGTGTCCCGGGGAAAAATACCCGTGATTTAATCATCACTCATCGGTCTCAGATCTTAATGGAGTGGCCTCCAATGTGTATAATAATTATGAGACATTAAACCGTATGGTGGGCTAAGAAGTAATCAGTGATAATAACACCAAGTTAAGAGAATGTGTGAAGTGAAATGAGTTGCCGTTCTCAGAGTGAGCATCTGTTTACCTCGTGTTCCTGTCCCGAGGATAGTGAAGTTTTTATGGAGTCACGACTTCTAAACTGGGACAAACCAACGGATACCTTGTCCTGCTGGAATAAGAACCGCGTCGGTGTAGCAGGACATCGAAATAAGATAGTGAATGGAGGAAATAAGGAGTATCAATCACCCAGGTTAAGTCCCCCTTTAGTTATGCGACTGATGCTGCCCGTTGGGTATGTTGTAACTGGATGGGTTGTGGGTGGTTCAGCTACATCAGTGCCCCCCAGGAATATTGGTAAGTGGTGGGATTATATAAAACGTTTTTCCCTTGATAAAATTTTCCCATGTTAAACCTCCCCCCCTTCATTCAGTTAAAAAATATATCTTGCAGCCCGCAATTAATTAGTAGCGCCTACTTGTGGGCGGTATCAATTTATAGGGTTCTCGGATAGATATGGAAAAGTTGTGAGGCCCAAGGGCCACCTGCAGTGCCCCGGGGGTGGTTAAGTTTTCCACTGTCTAAAAGGGTGACGGTAAAAATTGGTTTTTGCTCCCAATGGATTTCGTTGCATGAAATGTTGAGGTAATACGGGAAACCCCCCTAAAAAATTTTTCCTTTTGCCCTTGGCCCTTCGAACGGATGCAAAAGTAAAAAAATTAATTGAATTAATTATTTTAATAATTAAGTGACTGATTGAAGAAAGTGGGTTAGGGACACAAATTTAAATCGTCGTGTGGTGGAGATAATTAGCCTAATTAATTGCTGCCATGGGGGCTGGATTTATAAAGGAAAAGTGCAAGAATTATCTTATAGGCGCCTCATTAAGTTGTATAATCGTGTTAATAATTTTTAACCAGACTGGTCTGGATTTAATGTGGCTGAAAGTCAGGGTTTTGAGTTGGCTCTTGCAGGCTTAAAGGGCCCAAGTTACAAAGGCTAAAGTGTTTGGTTTTAAAGTCAAAAAAACCGTAAAACCCAAAATTTAATTAAAGCAAATTTTTGGGGCTTTAGAGGTAGATTTGAGTGGTAAAAATTGGGTTTAAGACTGTAAAATGTCGTGGAGAATTGTGAGAGGGAAAGGGAATGAATGTTTTAATTAATAAACATTCGAATTGGAAAGAAAAATTCTTGTAAAAGTAAGGCTTTGAATAAAAAAAGGGTGAAAGCCGGCAGTTGAAACCTATTAATGAAAAGGGTGTGTTTCCCAAAACTCCAGAGTACAGTCTGGGGAAATGATAGGTGGGCAAAAATTAATTTGTTCAATTGCAGACCAGTCAGCCAAACATTTCTAAGGATATAACACATAGACTTGAAGACGTAAGTTTCAAAAGGGAAAAATAATCCCAGGGGTAATAATCATAATTAAGGTTAAAAAGGTAATATCAAGTGACAGGAATCAGTAATAGTGGGTTTCCCCCATCAAGGTAAGGGAAAAGTACCTGTAAAGGGGAACCCAGTTAAAAAGAGGTCGGCAAGGAAAAGGAGACTGTCTCTTCTGCCAGGGTATCATTTACTAAGAACTGAAGCCCCTTAAAACATGGGATATTAAAGGGAAAAAAATGAAAGAAATTTACGGTGATCAGATGTCTGACAATCTAAAGTAAAGGATTGTCATACCCAAAATTTAACGTTGCTATCAATGAACAAGGGAAGGCACCCTACATTTTTGTGCAGGGTTGTTGTAAAAATTTTTATAATAATGGTGACAATAATATAAGTTAAAAACCTGACACTACAGTGTGTGTAAGGTTGCGATTAAAGGCAAAAAGATGGCCTAGCTGAGGGGGCCCTTTCGGTGTTGGAGAAAAAATTTAGGATAAAGGGATAAAAACCAAAAATATGCGGGTCACTTCCTAACTGGTACGGGCCATGTAATATAGGCGATATGGTGTAAAAATGATAGAGGAAGTAGTAATAAGTCACGGTTGTCTTCTCATAAAAGGTAACCAGTACAAGTATTCTTCTACGAGGATGATTTTGAACCAGTTAAATTTTTGGGGAGCTGGACGCTTGAGATTAATATAAAGGGGAAAGTCCCGATGATCCTTTTCTCAGGGGAAAATACCCGAAGAATGTTAAATTGAATCTGGACATTACTGGGTGCGACTTTGGTGGAAGCTAAACCATCCAGAATTTTTACTAAATTTTGGATGGTGTTGGACAGTTAAAGGCCCCCCTCTGCGAACTGGCAAAAACACCAAAATTGTTGATGCTTTAAAGATTAATTAATAAACAGTTAAATAATAAATTGTTTTACTTTAGGCGACGTAAAGCACACCTTAATTTCCAAAAGGGGGCCACTGAGCGAAGTAATTGGGTAAAAAATTTTGTGGACAATTTTCCCGGGTGTGACGTCAATGAAGGAAAAAAATGAGGATATATGAAGGGGTTAATGAAATAATGCAAGGTGCAAAGGGTGCCCCCCGAGGGAAAGGAAAAGTAATTAGTCCATTTTGAGGGTCAATAAAAATGGTGCATGGGGTTGAAGTGCATATATGCATAATGTGGTTGGGGCTGACTTGGAAAACTGGGGATTGTTTTGTTAAAAGTTCATATTCCATATGCCCCTAAATTTAACCAGAGAGCATAGGCTTGTGCCAAAAGTATTTTTTAAGTAGGGGGACCATTATGCCCTTTGTAAAGGGTTTTGACAAAAAAAAAAATGCGGAGTCACCCCCTTAGGACCCCAGGAGGTACGTGAGTATGGGAGGTTCCCCGTACGATAAAGAATGATGGGGGAAAATAAATCGTT